GGGTTCACGAAATATGCCTACTACTCTTACTGTTTAACATTTTGGGTTACTTGATGTTACTTCATATTAAGGCTAATAAAAATGACAAGGCTAACTAACGTGCTAGCTACTAGCTAGGTAGCTAACTTGATCCAGCCACTCTTGGTCCTTTCATCAGACGGGAAGCGAAAGAACGAGCAAGACCCATTGCTGGTATGATAACAACCTGGTACTAAGCACACAGGAATCTTGTTAAAGTGATCTTATCTTAGCCAGCGCCATATAGATAGATTATATCTATATGGCGCTGATCTTAGCTATCTCTTAGTGGAGGAAAACAGTTATGACATCACTTACGCGACTCCGGGATTTGTAGTCTTTCTAGTTGCGTATTTTTCATAGTCTTATATTTCAACAGTTTTATGACAAACTGTGACTTTTTTGACATGGAAATGATCAAGTATATGGGCGTGACTTTGTCACTCTATAGAGAGGCGAAGTCACGCCCATCTACTTCCGGTCCATGGGACCTTATTTCGGAAAAATAATATAATTTTGTCCGGGAGATTTAAACTTTACGGACGTGTTGACCGGCGAAACCCCACCTCTGCTGCTAAATCCAGCGCGGAGAATAAACAGAAGGGCAACCATGGCAACCATGCATGCGCGGGAAGTCTTCTTCGCTGCTTTTGGTGTATTTTGTGGCAGAAGTACAGCGCCACTTACAGGCCCGGCATATGTACTACAGCGTCTCCAGCGGTTCGAGCTGTCTCGTGTGGACGGACACGTTTCTGGTGCCTATTGCGTGTGGACGGAAGACTTTTTTGATAACGATTTTGGTTGGTTTCCTTTATAGTCCTCGTGTGGCTGCAGCCTAATAGCCTTGTTGTTTACCTCACTCCTCACAATGTGCTGTATCATGTAGTTTTGGTCTCAGGTTGCCCTGCAGTGCATGGGGACTCCCCGGGGGAATCCTCCAACAGTGCTATTGCTGGAGACACATGCCGTTTCATCGTAATGACAGCGTTGTTAAGGCATTGTTGAACTAAGTGCTCTCTCCCCCTCTGACAGTTGCATACACCATTGTCACCCAGAGCCTAAAACGGCATGTGAGATCCCTCTTATGAATCTTTTACACTCTTTTCCTATAAATCAATCCGTTCTAGTTCTATTATGGGGCCACTGTTTGCAGGTGGTTTATAACTTACAAACCACCTTAAGACGGTTTGGTTTTCCATCAAATGTACCAGAGGATCCACTTCATACCTTTACTGTTTATGTTGCAATGCCAGCGTGAATTTCACAAACAGTAACAACAGTGGCAGTCTGTGTTGGAGATGTGCTCAGGCTGCTCTTATACTTACAAAGCCAGATTGAATTCTACGAACGTCTTCTCTGACAACTTTATAATCTTATCTTAAACTTTGAATCAGTAAGTACTTCTTGGTATCATTGTGTTATTAGCCCTTTTCTCCAGGCAAAACGTATTTGTATTTAGTATGGTATTTTCACTCTTTTCTGATATTCTTTAAGTGTATTCATGTTACAAACACAACAAAAAAACCTCTGTATGCACCTGAAGCAGAATCGAAATTCATTGTTCAAAATGGCTAATGCCACAATGATAGCAAGTTGGTAGTTATTCAAACTATAGTGAATAATAAATGATGTTACATGTATGCCACAACGTTCAGGCTAGACAAAGTGTGATTGTGTTCAAGCCACTTATTGTACTCATGAACCTTTGTTTCCCAAGTCCCCCCCCCAGCCTCTGACATATCTCTTGATTCCAGCCAGGGCAAATAGTTGGTGAACAAGTAGGTTAAAATACCCATACTGGTTTTCAATTTGTCACAGCTCCATACTGGCCCTGGAAATGCCTCGATGTAAAGAGGTATTTGTGACAGTCTCTCTGTGCTTTCTTGTTCAGGGACAGTCTCTCCCATCGTCTTGGGCGATGACCTTTGTCAGATGACTGGGAGAGGTCAACAGAGGTTAAAGCGAGCTGAGAAAGCGGCCCCCCCTCTAGTCATGCAGAAAAGAGCTGCTGGAGAGTTTTACCCTGGCGTATTACACACACACACACACACACACACACACACACACACACACACACACACACACACACACACACACACACACACACACACACACACACACACACACACACACACACACACACACACACACAGTTGCTCTCCATCCAACAGGAACAGCACTTCCTTGCTCCTGACCAGCCAGACCCCGGCTATAGAGAGGCGCAGACCCATGCAGAAATACAAACATTATGGTATTTTTTCCAATACAAACACACACTCATCAACTGGCAGATCTCTTTCTTTCTGTCTACCCTCTCTCTTTGTTACACACACTCCTCCTCTGCCCTTCTCATTCAGTCATAGTCGCACACAGTCAGGCTTCAGTGCACACACTGCTATGATGAGCTATGACAAGGCAAGAGGCGGGAGGCGACTACAGTAAGAATGGGAGAGGAGTGACAAAATATGGTAGAAACAATTAGCACTTCTTATGAAAAGCATTGACGTTAATAAGTGCATTTACAAATGGTGGTCATTCATAATAAATAAATCCTAGTATTAAGAATAGTTTTTTCCTGTTGTCTGCAGTCCAAAGATCCAGTCTGAGTGCCTTTAATATGCTATGATATTCCATTTATGTCTCCATAAAATACGGCTTAAATGTTAATTGCATGCCATTTGGCCACACCTCAAATCTTGACAGTCTGCCATCAGGTCTGAGCGGGCAGCCGCAAGGGATTCTGGGTACTGAGCAGAGCAGTAGTGTAACTCTCTCGTAGCTCTGATTCACAAGACAGCGTGCTGCACATAACAGGCCTCTCTTCGTCTGTGAACACACACACACACACACACACACACACACACACATACACACACACACACAAACAATCAGTGTGTCTCTGAATCACACACATAATGATGCATGCAAACGCTTTAGAGAATTTTGTATTGCTTGGTGCAGTGGATCGATAATGAACATAAGGTGTCCTGATTTTTCATGTAAAATCCCATCATGTAAATGCCCTTCCTGTATGCCTTTTAAAGTTCTAATTTTCAATTGAGTACGATTGTTGTCTACATGGATACAAATGTGAAGGGTAAGTTTACTAGTAAAGGGCACTGGGGGTCAAAGGGCAGCCCTGATAAGGTCAGCTCAGTCAAGTGGATTTTCATTAATGTAAGAAAATGGCATGATTCTTATTTTCCTCCTTTTATAATTCATGAAGGATTTGGGTTGGATCCAGTGTTTGTCTGGGCTACTCTAAAACCCTGTTCACGTAAGGGCTTTCAAAGTTCATGTCATGAGGATGGTGAGGGGAAAAGCGGTCCATGCAGGGATCAATGACATATCAAATGGTTGTGTGTGGTCCCTGTAAAGACAACATAACTCTACACTGTTCATCTTTTTCTAAAAGTCAAAAAAGAAAATAAATCACAGGAACATATTTATAACAAATATACAACCTTCCAAATACATTATCTGGTGTTGAAGATCGTATTCAGCAACCTCAGTATTTAAAATAAATCTCAGATTATTGAATTAACAAAATGCATAATTTACATCCTCAATCTACAGGTTATATCACCAGTAACAGGAATATATTTAGATTTGCATTGTACATTTCTGTTTTGTACTCTCCATATCCTCCTGCTATTGAACTGTTTTTGCTGTACTTTTCTTTCTTCTATTTCTCGACTGTTCTCCATCACCATATTTTACAATTTCTCAATCCACAAAGCAGATGAAGCAACAACTGAGACATCCAAATCCACACACTCAATGACTCTTTTCTTTTTGGGAATTAGCACGGTGTGTTCATTCACTCTCTGCTGTTTGAGGTGTGTTACCAAAGCGCAAACTCAAGTCTTTGGTAATACGCTTGAGTTTACTTGAAGGTATTCCAAAAGGAATAAGCCTTGGCTCGGTTTCACAGAGCACAGCTTTCCATTGTGTATTTTGAGTTCTGCTGAGGCTGCTGATAAAATGTTCTGTGCCTGAGGTAGGACAGCATGAGTGGCCTCTGTTCAGGAAGAGAGCTGGAGTAGACGCTGTCTCACAAACTTCCCCTCAAACTCTGCACGGGTTCATATTTTCCAAATATTTCTTTCTAAGGAACTAAATGAGTGGCTCACGTCACGTTGCTCAGCATGTTCTGTTTAGTATTCATTTGCCAGGTATATCTGGTAGCTTTGCCACTTACTTTATCTTGTAGCTTACTTATTCCACCATTGTCACTCAAACAATTTTTTATTGCATTATTTTACTTTCTTAATTCTATATGTCTTAGTATATTGTGTGTTACAGTGTTGGCAGGGCACAGGACTTAGATATTAATTGCCAACAACATCGCTGTAGCTTTTGTGCACAATAAAACATTTGAATTGTTGAATTTAAACTTAAAATATATATGTGTCCCATACCGTGCACACTTGTGTGCAAGAGAAACGTACACGAATGGTAACAGATCAGTGTTACCCAATATGTTTTCGGTTATCTCGTCAAATCTGGTATATCATATTATTTATATCCCCAACGGAAATATATTTTAGAAATTCACATTAACTGTTTTTTGCATGTTACACAAACGTATTGACATAATTACAACTTAAGTGGTCTTGTTTCTCTGTATTATATAAAACGTATAGCAATGGATTTAATAAAGGTTTCCGAATGTTTTATAATTGCCTTGCTCCTAATTTAAAACACAGTAAACGCAATAATACACAGTACGTGCTTTTGTAAATATGTGTTGTGGCCTGAGTTACTTGCTGATAAAATGGTGTGTGTGTCTACAAGCAATTTGGGCCTAAGCGAGCATATGGTCACTTAAATTGGATTTACATTAAGGAGCACTCATTTACATTACATTTTTGCTTTGCAGCTGCTGATTTTGTTACATTTGTTTCATGAATTTTTCTCATATTATTTTAGCCTAAACAATCCATGCAAGACTTTATGCTGAAATGACCAAGATTCTGTAATAACATAACCATGTTTTAATTATTAAACACGTTCATTGTATCCTCATTTACTGCAATGTCATGTCGAGATGAACTGGTCCGAAACACAAACAGTTCAGTTGAAAATGGTGAATAAAAATATTTCTTGAATGAAGATGTTTTAATTACAGTTTGAATAAATTGTGTAATGGGCCAATAGACAAACGTGGAATAAAGTAAGAATAGTAGGATACTCAGAAAACAAAATAGACATGCGTGAAATATATAATAAAATGTTAATTACATTCATTTAAATACATAGATAATTTCAGTAATTCAAAATTCATTATGATACAGGAAATGCATGCAAATAGCTATAGGCTATAATTTCTTTGGTGGCTTGGCTGCTGGAAATGCTGTTGTCGTTGATAATAATAATAATAATGATAATGATAATAATAATGCCATGTCATGTAAACAATAAAATGTTAGGATTAATAATGTGTTAGGCCTCCCTCAGGCTATTATTAGCTTAGCCTGCTATATCCTAAAAACGGTTATGTGTAGTAGGTTTAGTGAGGCCTAAACAAAATCCATAGCTTTGAAGAAAAATAAATAAATAATCCCGAATCAGCTTTTTTTTAAAGTGATATGTAACTTCTCCTTTGTCGTTTTATCTGCAGTCTCCAAAAACAGTAAGGCCGCAGGTCTGGCCCCCCACCTAACACCCTTTTAAATGCTTGAATCTTGACTACAGCCCACCAAAAAGTGTCTCTTTCACGTGGGTTTAATGTCACCATCATACGTCCCCGTCGTACAGGCTGAAGTACTTGCTGGCGTTAGTGAAGCAGAGGTAAGGCGTGCTGCTCCCCGAGTAGACCACGGGCAGAGGCATGGGCAGCAGGCACCTCCCCAGCAGGTTGCTCTCTTTGTACAAGGCCGGGAGCTGCCCTACCACCATGGGCTTTCCAGTCTCAGGGAAATCGCTAACAGGTCCGTCGATTTCGGTTGAGATTTGCCGTTTCAATTTATTCCTGCGATTCTGAAACCATATTTTGACCTGGGTCTCCGTGAGCTGCAGGGAACTGGCGAGGCAGGCGCGCTCTGCGCTGCTCAGATAGCGTTTCATGTCGAAGGTAGACTCTAACTGAAAGATCTGTCTCTTGGAAAAAATAGTGCGCGTTTTCTTTTTCGTGATCATTTTGCTCTTCTTGACGGGGCTGCCACCTTTGTGGGTGTCCGTGGCCGTGGTGGTGGAACTGCTGTCGTCGCAGCTGCTGTCCCCGCTCTCGAAGCGTACCTCCGTCGCCTTCTTCGGGTCCCCGCGGCTGATGATGACCGAGTCCGCTGCTCCCCTGCAGTCTGTCAGCAACTCTGCGAACAAAACGAAACTTTCTTTAACCCCCTGTCAACTGTGCTGCTACAACTGTAGGCTAACCTGGTGCGTAATCGTGACACATAACACGAAGTCGCTGCACACACCTACAGCTCCAAATGAACAAACCCCTCTTACCTCTGTCGTTCAGTCTGCTGCCCGGGTCTTGTCGCTGCTGGGCTACGTGCTCCTCGTGGTGTCTCTGGAAGACGTCTTTACGCATGACCGTGGCGGAGCCACCGTGCACTCCGGCGGGGTGACAGCTGTCCCGGTTCCTCCCGCTTGTCTTGAGATTGAGGATGTTGTCAATGGTGAATTTCAGAGAGGCGACGGGTCGGCATGGTGCGTCCACTTTGTTCATATTCTCCAACGCGTAAGTCCTTTTTCTTGTTTACTTCCGCGTCTATCCTTGCATTTAAGTCTCACCCGGGACGTTAATCTGACCACTAACGTATCGATGCTGCACGCACCATTACCATAGCAGCAGCCACTGAGCAGACACTGCTGGGCTGGCGATACTCTGCCTCTATCGCTTACTACACACCGGATGGGGCAGGCGCTGTCCTCGCTCATTGGTCAAGATGAGCGTGCAGTACGGACCAATGGCAGCGAGGGGATGGGATGCGAAAGGAGGGCGGGACTCCCTCTCCTCCACTCAACCTCTTTATCGTTATACATCTGCTGCAAGGAGAACCGGCCGGGGTCCGCCGCCCTGCAGTGCTCCCTCAGGAAAATAAAGAGTTTAATGTCACTGTTATTTCACACCATGCTGTGCGCCGTGACACACACATTTGATGGTGGTTTTGATGTCCTGCTGCACCATCTCTGTGAAGTTCGGCCAGGCGGCTTGATTCGAGTCACAGATTAGTGTGTGTGCCACCTAAAAGCAAATCAGATCATCTCTGGGCTCATATCTTTGTGTGTGTGTGTCTTGGGAAAATGTGCATAGTATTTCTAAAAACACTTTTACTTGTTCACATGGTTTAAAATGTGAGTAATATATTTTTATTTGCGAGTTCGGCTACTTTTAGTATCCTAAGTAACGGTGAACAAAAGGGACTTGCTTGTCCTTAATGTATACCTCGTTGCATTTTAAAAAAAAAGTAATTGTTCACTGTACCCTATTTTCAAGTTATAAATTATAAATTAGCAAATTAAAATAGGTATAATGTAAATAATAGCTTTAGATGAATATTGCCTTTTGTGAATACAATATTCGGCTATTTTATTTTGGTGAACAGTGTAATTAGATGCCTGTCCATTCCATGTATTATCTTTATTTTTTAAATTGTTTTAATCGAAAATACATTAACATCTACTTGCTCAGCTAATATTGACGCAGAGAATAATAGCTTGGATAATCATAACAGAGGTCTACTTGTATAGTCAGAACTATACTGCAAATGTACAAAAGGTTAAAACAAATGTATATCCGAAAAATGCAGTTTTCGTGTTCTCAGCCTTGATCTCTCATTGTGTCACAGAGCACACATGTTCAATTCATTCTCTATAAACATTTCTCTGCAAGTTTCTTGACAGAGGAAGACACATTTTAGGTAATTGGGTATTCATAATCAATAGAGAAACAGACAAATGTGTGCTTATTTTTTTTATTCATCTATTATGTGGAAAAGTGACAAAGTTGGAAGAATGTGTGGCTTTAAATATAAAAGTTTGCAAAAATATGTGTGTTTTCAAACATATAGTATAAGCCGCTTCGGCTTTGCTGTGACAGGGGCACAGATTTATGAACAGATACAGATCACTGTGTGTTAATGTCTCTGCGGCTCTCATCTTTGGGTGTGGGTTATTGCACGACTCAGTATGAACAGGGTGAACTCATGTTTCAAACAGTTTATATATGACAGTCTTTACACCAAGCCGGTCATCTGCGATCTTAACAAGCTCATGGAGTGAGCGAACGAGGACAGAGGGTAGCTGGAGAATCCGGCTAAGGGTGCAGAAAGTGGATGTCCGTTCATGGTGAAGCCCAGTGCAGCAGTGTGTCCGGGGCCCTCGTGATAGAGAATAGGGACCCTGACAATCCGCTGGGTGGAGTGTGGGACATGTGAAGCCTCGAGGTCTGCCGCCAGCTGCCTCTTCCACTTATTTCTCCGGTTCTGGAACCAGATCTTGACCTGAGTCTCCGTCAGGTGGAGGGACGCTGCCAGCCCCGCCCTCTCCGAGCTGCTCAGGTACCGCTTCACGTCAAAGGTCGACTCCAGCTGAAACACCTGACTGCGGCTGAACACGGTGCGGGTCTTCTTCTTCCGGGTGGAGCTCGGGTCTTGCTCTGACCGTGCGTCAAAGCCGTTGTGCATGTCCTCGTTGTCGTCTGTCAGGTTGCTGTCCCCTGTCTTCCTGTCGGTCTCGTCGCTGTCCTCAGTTATCGGTTCGGATACTGCCGGGGAGCCCCTGTCACTGGTCGATATGGAGCTACAGTGGTCACCTGGACTTGTATTATCTCTTTGACCTGAACGGAGAAGAAAACATGAGTGATCTGCAAAGCAAGCTAAAAGAAAGTGCTTTAAAACGACTGCCCTACTTCAGTGTTGAATCGTGGAGGAATAATTAATTCCACTGGAATACAAACTAAAATGTTTCAGCTGAACGATAGACAAAGTTATGAAGTAAAAAAAATACACTTTGCTTTTATCTGACATTTGCACTAACCTATTTACTTTAAATGCTTTTTGTGTTTTGAAGCTCACCAGTTGGTGAGAGTATTGGCAAAGCTACGGTGCGTTGATTGGATTGCATAACACCATCAAGGAAGTTGTCAGGCTTGTTTATGATACAGATAATTAATTAATAATTATTAATAATAATTCTAACCACATATTTACCGATGTACTGTGTGGGCATCAGGTGTAAACACAAGACATTCTGAGATCCAACTATCTGACTGTTTACAATAAAGGGATGGGCACTTTGTTTTTATGATGGCGCGTGAGTGAAAGACGTGCTTTGACGTGCTTTGCTTCTGCGCATGTGTTTTGGGTTGTATTCTGGACATTTGTGCGTAATCCACGTGCGTAATCCTCAAACCGAGGCACGGATCTCCTAATAACAACCAACTAATACTATACACTGGTTTTGTGCGGAGGGTAGAGGACCAATTGTGCTTCTGGTGATCCGCCGTGAAAAACCTTCAGTCTTGTCTCACAGATTGGTGCAATCCCTGGTTTCCGTAAAAATGCACGCAATACAAGGCAAGGGATCGGTGGTTTTTAAAGCACTCTGGGAGGCTCTGCTCCGGGTTACAGAGAGAGGAGCCACTTGACTCGTTCTGGCTGTGTTAGTTTTGTTTAATGAGGCGAGAAACTTCCAAGCTGGCTTTCTATATGAACTCATAATGGTTCTACTACATTAACATTATTAAATAAACGACCTGACGGCTTGAATAAAAGGCACCAAACAATGATGTGAATAAAAGATGAATACATGTGACCTAGAACCGACAACCTCATGGCACCTACTGCTGTCCTTTTTTAAACGGTTATATAATATTCTAAAACAAAAATATATATACAAATTAGTTTATACAAAATAATAGGTAAACTGAAATCGGAAGTCTATTAAATCCTCACTAACACACCAGCAATAGCAGCATCACACTGTTGTCTTTAAGGCTATTTGCTCGCACCTCATTTGTTTGCTTTAAAAAAAATAATGGTTATCTATTTTCAGGACTCACTTTGTGGTGTTTCCAGAGCTCTGAAGTTTAAGGCATTTGCCCCGCGGTACCACTGTAAGGGCGAGTCTCTGTACGGGGACCGAGCTGTGGAGCTGCAGCCATCCGGCTCTGGGGCGCTCACATCGGCGTGATGTGCCTTCAGGACTCCGTCAGAAGAGCCGGTCTCCACACCGGCTTCCCCACGACTCCTGTCCGTCACCGACTCATGTTTATCCCTCCCTTTGCCTAGTATGTTCTCGATAAAAAAAGACGACGCTCTCGATGAAGTGGGAGTCCCGTTGTCCTTGAGCTTCTCCTGCATGTTTTGTCCCCGATTTCACGCTGCTTTCACGCAAAAACCGAGCGAATCCTGGTTTGTTTGTGCGTTAAGGCAGCCTACGGTCCAAACTTTCATTTCGAGCGATGCTGCTATTGCTCCTGGATCGGATATGGAGTCATTGCAGAGACAGGACGGGGATCTCCTCGGTGCCAGCGGGAGGAGAGGGAGACGGAAGCTGTAATACAGTGAGACGTCAAGTGAACGCTCCACGAGCCGAAGGCATCCAGCGATTGGACGAGCACAATAGCAAATGGGGTTTTCCGGGGAAAGGATCATTACTGTCGTCCCTCTGGTGTGTGTGTGTGTGTGTGTGTGCGCGCGCGTGCGTGCGCGTGCGTGCGTGCGCGTGCGCTCACATCCCCTCGAGGCCATGCAGCCAAGAGAGAGAAAACCTCTGTTCGTGGTACAGCACTCTTTATTTAGGTCAATTAAAGTACAAATCAAAATAAAGATCCACTAGGGCATGTCTTCCCCCCCATGTCTTCTCTGAAATATGAAGGTATAGTCAGGACCCTCTCGATATTAAGGGTGTATTTGCCCACACTGATATCGTAGCCCATTTGTAAATTCAGAGCCTATAGTGTTTTAATCTTGTGGAGGCCTGCACCCATTTGACAAAGATTGGATAACCTTTGATGGCATAAACAGTAGGTTATAGGTATAACAATATTTTAGTGGTGATTCCCATGGCATGATGGTGTCTCAGAGTTATGATTTTGAACGCATATGCTCATGCATGGCTTGGCAATGCAACGTGAAATGCAGAATTTCTGAGATGCTGCTGCTGTCAAAGGTTATATAAACTTTGCGTAATGGCTCCAATACTCCTGATAATAGGCCTGTATGTCTGCAGATGCACTTTGGTTTAATTAGGTCTAACTACACATTTCTGCCTTTACAATTAGACTCGTTTGGCAGAATTCCTCAGTGGTGCTGTCACAGGCCTGCATGTAGTTGTTTCGGCGCAGCATTGTTTTAGTCTAATTATTTTAGGTTACTTCCAGCAACAAGCCTTTGGTTCATATTCTGCCACAATGCAGATAATCTGAGACATTAACCAAGTCAATTAAATACATTAAATGAATCTCCAAACTGTTGTTTTGCTGCTACTGTACTAACAAAAAGTGCTCTGCTTAGGATAATAAGTGAGTGCAGCGCTCATTGGACATATGCAGATAAGATTATATCCATTGGATCATCTGGGACATTTAAATGAGTGCTGACGGCCGTCTTTAACCTTTTCGCTGAAATGGCAAGACATTTGAGCTTTTTATTTCCTTCAATGACCTTTAACTCCAGTCTCATCCCCCCGCCCCCCCTTTTCTCTCTCCCCCCTCCTCAGACTTACCCTTTGACAGCAGATCAGTGTTAATATTCCTCTTCAACCTAACACTTGTCGTTGACAACAGTAACACGAGCCGTGTGTTGAGTCTTACACCTGTCTTGTAATGCCGCTCACTAAAATACTAAATATGGCGTTGGTGATGGCCTTT